GGTGATTCGAATTCAGGAAGACCACCTCGATACGACCCTCGACCGAAGTCCCGCAGGCGGCGTCGTGGGGGGAGTCGTACGTCTGCACGCACTCCTCCACGACCTCAGGGCTGCAGTCCTCGACGATCTCCAGGTCTTCCCACTCCTCCTCCTCCGCCATGATCTCTCCGGAGCCGACCTGAGGGAGACGCGCGGGGAATCGGCTCAGTCGGGGTAGGGAGGCTGTTTGTGGTAGAGGGAGGGGTAGGTGGAGGGAGATAGGTGGGTGGAGAGAAAGATAGAATGAGAGGGAGAGGGAGAGGGAGGGAGGGAGACTGTTCGTGATGGAGGGAGGGATAGAGGGAGGGAGATAGGTGGAGGGACAGAAAGATAGATTAAGAGAGAGATGGAGGGGGAGGGAGAGAGAGAAAGAGAGGAGGGTGGAAGAGAGAAAGCAGAGAGAGAGAGAGAGAGAGAGAGAAAAGAGAGAGAGAGAGAGAAAGAAAAGAAAGAAAGAAACCAAAACTTAGAGACACTTGAAAAACAAAGCAAAAACATAAGCATCGAACAAAGAAACAGAATACCACAGCACCGGAATCAACAAACAAACAAACAAAACAAGCAATACAAAAATAAAGGCAAAAAGAAAAACAAAATCAAAGACAAAAAGAAAAACAAAATCAAAGACAAAAATAAAGAAACAAAAAACAAAAATATAGACAAAAACAAAACAAAAATAAAGGCAAAAACAAAAAACAAGAATAAAGACAAAACCAAAAAATATATAAAGGCAAAAACAAAGACAAAAACAAAGGCAAAACCAAAACCAAAACAAAGGCTAAAAAAGAAGCCTGTCCATACCTTGGTGAAGAAGTGGACGCCGGCGAACTGCAGGAGCGTGGCGATGCAGTAGCCGAAGCTCATGAGGATAAACCAGTCGAGGGCCGTCGCGTAGTGCACCTTCGGGAGGTCCGTGCGCGTGTCTAGGCTGATGGTGGCCAACGTCAGCACCGTTATGATGCCTGGGGGAGGAGGAGGAAGAGGGGGAGGGTTGTAATTTGTTCGTATTTTCTTTGTATTTTGTTTGTTTGTTTTATTTTGTTTTATTTGTTTTTTTATCTTCTTTGTTTTATTCGTTGTTTTTATTTTCTTTGTTTTATTCGTATTTTTGTTTTATTTTCTTTTTTTTTCTTTTTTTTTCTTTATTTATATATTTTGTTTGTATTTTCATTTATTTTTTTGTTTGTGATTTCTTTGTTTTTTGTTTACTTTGTAGTTTCTCTGTATTTTCTCCATTTGTATTTTCTTTTTTGTGTGTATTTTTTTTTACTTTTTTTATTTTATTTTTCTTTGTTTTACTTTTCTCTGTATGTTCCTTTTTTGTTTATTTGCATTTCCTTTCTTTTCATGACATGGAAGAGACGAAAGAAAGGGATGGTGATGATAATGCTAATGATAGTAATATATAGAACGACGATAGTGATAATGCTATTGACGATATTCACAAATAATGATAAAATTAATGATAATAACAATAGTGGTGATGATGATGATGATGAGAGAGAATAGGAGAGAGAGAGAGAGAGAGAGAGAGAGAGAGAGAGAGAGAGAGAGGGAGAGAGAGAGAGAGAGAGAGAGAGAGAGAGAGAGAGAGAGAGAGAGAGAGAGAGAGAGAGAGAGAGAGAGACAGACAGACGGGCAGACATAATAATAGTTGAGGCATAGCTCTTCCATGAACCTTATGTAAATCCCCCCTACTCGCTTTCCACTCCCCCCCCCCCCCCAGAAAAAAATGAGGGACAAAGAGAAAACAAGAATAAAACAAGAATAAAAAAGAAAAAAAGAAAAAAAAAAAACTTTTCCCCAGAGTTCTACACTGATTAAAGATCGGGGAAATCTGATCACAAGAGAGAAAAATAAAGTTGTTTCTCTTGCCGTTTCCAAGGTAGCGGCAGCCGTTGAGATCAGGGAGAATCCCACTTGATCCCGGCGGTGTTCTGGGGGAGAGGGAGGGAGGGAGAGGGAGAGAGGGAGGGAGGGATGGAGGATGAGAGGGAGGGAGGGAGGGAGGGAGGGAGGAGAGGGAGAGGGAGGAGGGAGGGAGGGAGAGGGAGAGGGAGGGAGGGATGGAGAGGGAGAGAGAGGGAGAGGGATGGAGGGAGAAAGGGAGGTTGAGAGAGGGAGGTAGAGGGAGAGAGGGAAGGATGGAAGGAGGGAGAGAGAGAGAGAGGGAGTGAGAGGGGAGAGGGAGAGGGAGAGACGGGGAGAGAGGGAGAGAGGGAGAGAGGGGGAGGGAGGGAGGTTGAGAGAGGGAGAGGGAGAGGGAGAGGGAGGGAGAGGGAGAGAGGGAGGGAGGGAGAAGGAGAGAGGGAAGGGATAGAGGGAGGGAGGGAAAGAGGAAGAGGGAGAGGGAGAGGGAGAGAGAGAGATACTGATAGAGGAGGGATGAAGGGAGAGGAAGAGAGGAATAAGGGATGGAGGGAGAAGGAGAGAGGGAAGAGGGATGGAAGGAGAGGGAGGG